TAAGACGTGTATGTTAACTAAACAGGGGAAACCCGTATGCTCAGGTAAGAGATGCGGAAGGTTGTTTGAATTAAACATCAAGGTCGAAGTACCGACAAACGGGTACGCGACGGTAGCTGTCGAAAACAGGTTGTCTGTTTGGCACGAGCGCATGGCACATCAGAATTTACAGTACGTAAAAAGTTGTTTGGCGAAACACGAAATAGTATGTTCGGCCAAGGACGACGAATTCATGTGCAGCAGTTGTATAATAGGTAAACAAAGTCGTAAATCATTTAGTAAAAGTAATACGGAGTATCACAATGTCGGTGATTTAATCCATGCAGACCTATGTGGACCAATGGAGGTAAGCTCTATAGGCGGTTCAAAATACTTTTTGTTATTCAAAGACGACTACTCGCATTATAGAACGGTATATTTTATTAAAAATAAATATGATGTTAAAAATATTTTTGAGACGTTCATAAAAAGTGTTGAAACAGAAACAGGTTCTAAGGTCAAAATATTACGAACGGATAATGGATTAGAATTCGTAAATAAAGAAATTACGGATATTTTACAAAAACACGGGATTCGACATCAGTTAACAGTTCCCTACACACCACAGCAAAATGGAAAAGTGGAACGGGAAAATCGTACAATAGTAGAGTCAGCGAGGACAATGATTTGTGCGAAAAATTTGGATGTATCACTTTGGGCGGAGGCGGTAAACACGGCTGTTTACACGCTTAATCGAACGGGAACCAGTTCAGTTAAAAATAACTCACCATACGAGTTATATTACAAGGTAATGCCAGACATTAAACACTTACGAGTTTTTGGTACTGTCGTATATACACACATACCAAAGCAAAAACGTAAAAAGTGGGACCCTAAAAGTGAAAAAGGAATATTTGTTGGCTATTCGGATAACACGAAAGGTTATCGTGTGTATTATTCGAAAACAAATAGAATTTCAATGTCTAGAGATATTATATTCGAAAACGAAGGTAATAAATTGGAAAATATAATTGAAGACAAATTAGAATTCACAGATACTCAGACTCAAGTCGAGGGCGATCCGGTCAAGGTCGAATTGACGACGGTCGACAACAGGAGTGGCATGGTGCTACGTGATCGGAATACATTAAAAGCGCCAATCAGGTATAATGTGTCGTCGTTCGTCGCCAATCTCGTTGAACCACTAAATCGTGATGAAGCGATAGCTGGCCCACAGAAAAACGAGTGGGAGCACGCTATGAGTGATGAAATTAAATCACTACACGAAAACAACACTTGGTCACTAGTTAATTTGCCTCAGGGCAAGGTTGCGTTACGTAATGCATGGGTGTTCAAAACCAAATATAAAAGTGACGGTAATATCGATAAGTTTAAGGCCAGATTGGTCATTAAAGGTTGTTCACAGAAATATGGTATAGATTACCATGAAACATTTTCGCCAGTGGTCAGATACGAATCAATTAGGGCAATATTCGCAGTAGCAGCTGTGGAAAAATTAATACTACGACAATTCGACATCAAGACAGCATTTCTGTACGGAGAACTACAGGAAGAAATTTACATGGTACAACCACCAGGATACGAAGATGGATCGAATAAAGTATGTAAGCTTCAGCGTAGTTTATATGGCTTAAAACAAAGTCCAAGATGTTGGAATATACGCTTTAAGAACTTTTTGAATGCATTTGGTTTACAATGTACCGAAGCGGATGCATGTGTATTCAAAGCTGATAACAGCCAAATTATTCTTGCAATATTTGTTGACGATGGTTTAATCGCGGCAGATAATGAAGAGATAATAGAGAAACTTTTAACGAACTTGGTAAAACGGATTATACGATATATCAAGCGAACATTTAATTATGGCTTGTACTTTAATAACAAAACAAAATTGTCATTAGAAATATTTAGCGATGCAGATTACGCAGGTGACATTCAGACACGACGTTCGACGTCAGGATTTCTATTCAGGTACGGGTCAAGCATAATTTCATGGACATCGCAGAGACAACATTGTGTGTCGTTATCATCGACAGAGGCTGAATATATTTCGGCCAGTGAAGCTGTCAAAGGGATCTTGTGGATTACACGGTTGATAACAAGCTTATCAACAACAGGTGACAAACAACCAGTTTTATTTATAGATAATCAGAGTGCTATACGTTTAGTTAAGAATCCGGAGTTTCATAAGAGGACAAAACATATAGACGTACGGTACCACTTCATACGGGAGAAATACGAAGAGGGACAATTCCAACTACAGTACATTGGAACAGAGGACCAGATTGCGGACATTCTAACCAAGCCTTTGGTTAAGGAACGATTCGAGAAGTTGCGGTCAGCCATAGGAGTGACTACAATTAAAGAGATTATTAATTGAGGGAGGGTGTTGAAATATACAATTAATATGTAGTACATGTAGTCAGCCTTGACACGTGTGTACAATATAGAAACTAGTTATGTACGAGCATAAGACTCACTCTCACGGATGTAACATGACCTCGGTCGTGCATATATATAGGGCCTTTGATGTATGTAATATTCACTTGCACAGACGCTGTCATACCGAGTGTACGCGGTGTGTGTGTATAGTCACAGTTTAATTGTCCAGTTGTACGTTATTATATATTATACTTATACATAATCATATTGTCGTGTTATTACTTATTATATTAATGCTAACATCATTAGTCCGTCAAGCTTCACTTTCAACAGATTCTGTCTTAACATAATACACTAATTTCACAAATTATAAAGAATTTTATGAAGAATTGAGACACTCTTCATCGTCAACTTCATCTTCCGATGAAGAAATTGAAGATAATGAAGATATAACTTATTTTAATAATGATATTGATCAGTTATCATTATTTAGTACTTTAATTGCTCAGTGGGCAGTTTCATTTAATATTTCTCAAAATGCACTTAATGCATTATTAAAACTATTAAAACAGCAAAAATGTTTTGAAGCATTACCTATTGATTCACGAACCATTTTAAATACAAAAAAATTAACCACTTCAAATTGTTTTGCCGTGGAGCCTGGCAAATATTATCATTTCGGTATTCTGAATGGAATTAAACAAAATATCCCTGATTGTATTAATGAAAATGAAATAATTCAAATTGTTGTTGGAATCGATGGTTTGCCAATTTTTAAAAGTAGCCCTGAACAATTTTGGCCTGTCCTTGCATATATCCGACCAAATAACAATGAAGTATTTCCAGTTGGGATTTATTGTGGGAAAGTAAAAACCATTGATAGTAATGAATTCCTAAAAGAATTTGTTGATGAAGGAAAAGAATTAATTGACAGTGGTGTTTATGTAAATAATAAAACATATTAAGTTTCGATAGATGTTCTTTGTTGTGATGCGCCTGCAAAATTGTTTATTTTAAAAACTAAGGGACATTCAGGTTTTTTTTCTTGCTCCAGATGTGAGCAGGAAGGCCAATATTTGTCAAACAGAACTTGTTTTCCATATAACTGATAACTGTCCACCCAAGCGAACACATAATAATTATATTTTGAAAACACAAGAGGAGTATCATATTGGAAATATCTCTATTTTAGCAACTTTGCCCAATTTTGATATAACGACTGGGTTCTGTCTAGATTATATGCATTTGGTTTGTCTAGGAACTGTTCGTAATCTAATATTATTATGAATGAAAGGACCCAATGAAGTTCGCTATCCATCATGGAAAATCAAAGAAATCTCCAGTTATATTCAAACTATTAAAAACAAAATGCCTTGTGAGTTTGCAAGAAAACCTATTAACTTAGATGAAGTAAATAGATGGAAAGCAACGGAATTTCGTATGTTTTTTACTATATTATGGCATAATAGTTACTAAACCATCATTGAAAGATCAACACTGGAATAATTTTTTTTAATTTAAGTATATATATGATTATTTTATTAAGTCCTGATCATTTGAAATACATAAATGTTGACGTCAATTATTAGACAGTTTTGTTAAAGATTTCGAGATTATTTATGGCCGTTACCTCATTTCTCATAACATTCATGGTTTAACTCACTTATGTGATGATTATGACAAATTTGGGCCACAATTGTTCAGCCTTCCCTTTTGAAAACTACATGGGGTGCTTAAATAGAATGTTAAGGAAACCACATAAACCTTTGAAGCAAGTTGTCAAAAGATATAGTGAAATTTGTTCACTTAAGTCTAACACTAAAACTAAAAATGATGCACCTTATTTTTCTGGACTCCATACACATGGTCCTACATTGTCAAGTTCAATAAAAGGAAAACAGTTTACCACTTTGGTATTAAAAAGCATGACAATTAAAACACATCTGGAAAAAGATTCATACTTTTTAATTCAAGAAAAAAAAGTAGTAAAAATTGTCAACATAATTAAGAAAGAAAATTCAGAAGACGTAATACTTATTTGTAAAATATTTGACAAAAAATGAGTTATTTATCAAACCTATAAAATCTAGTAAATTAGATATTTATGTTGTTAAAAATTTAAGTTATAATTTTCATGAGTTTAATATTAAAGATATTAAAAAAAAAAAAATGATTCTGTTACCATCTAATAATAATGATTTGATTGTAATACCTATTATTCATTCAACTATTAATATTTAGGCACCTTATAAAAATGTTTTATGCTCATCCTTATATTGTATTAAATTATATTCTATATAAGTGATAATTATGTCAATTATTATGAATAATATATTTAAAATCAAGCCCATATATCATAATTATATCAATGTATGCAGGTATCTACATAATTAATTAATACCTATATTTACATAATATATGTTTATTAACATTTGTTCTCTGGTTATAATAAAGAATAAGAAGTCTAAATAGTAAATACTTAGTTTATAATTTTCATCTTAAATACACAACTTTTTTTTTTTGAAAGTGCTTATAATATATAATTACTAGTTATTGTATTAAATTATAGGTTTTGTATTCAGTTTCAATCATATTTGTGAATACATTTTGTATTTTAAATGTGGTCTGTGGTTCTTTGATGATAATTCCGTTGAAATGGTACCGGCCTATTGGCTAAACAAAAATACATGCGCTTGGCCGAAAAAAAATTCAAAACAATTCATTCAGAAAAGGACCAAACCAAATGAAATTGAGTTCGATTTTTTAAAGGCTCGTAAAATGGGAAAAGATAGAGGTATGTACAGTATATTATATAACTTAATATATAGCTGAACATTATTGAAATGATTCATTGTATGATTATTATATGTTATTCACATATAACATATTTATTTTTATTTAGATAGGTATACTTTAGCAAGGGAAAAAGCTAAAAAGGCAGAGTATACATCCAACTTATCAACAACACCAACCAAGCAAAAATACAATAATATGAAACCTACATTAAAAACTAAAAAAAAAGATAAATGTCAACAAAAAGAAAATAGTGTTTTATGGAATCCATCTTCAAGTGAAAGTATTGGTTGATAAATTTATATTATTGCTAAATTTAAGAAATTTCATTTTTCTCCAATTTTTATTATAAAAGTATAAAAACATATTTTTTGTTGATGACAATTATAATACCAAACAAGAATCAAATTTAAGTCCTATGGCAGAAAGTATTCTAGTATTATCTGGTAAGTTGTAATTGACAAAGTAAGCGATATGTGTATTTAGTAACTAAAATATAATTAATCACTGACTATAATAATTAGAACATTGAATTATAAACACTAATAATAAAAAATGACAGTTCATTTTTATGTTATTTCTATTTTAAATAAAAAATGAAAACTAACTGCATACTAAAATAATAAATATTAAATGGTATTACCTAATGTATGATGTATATTAAATATTTAAAAAAAAATTGTATTTGATAAGTATATGAACTTAATTGTAAGGGGATACACCTAATTTATAATAGTATTTTAAAAAATGTATAGTTTTAAACATTCTTTTTAATATAGGTACGCCAAGTTCTCCGGCTATACAGCTAATCCCGACAATACCTTCAAAAATATCTAATAGTTCTCAAAGGACTGTTATTTCCGTAAAAAAAATTAAATTTCAATAAAACAAGTCATCTCCAAGTCCAATTTCTACACCTGATAAGATAACAAAAATCACTGGTAATTCATACTTTAAGAATTGTCTTAATAAATTGATTTATAATCTATTGTATACATGTTTTGTTTGATTTATCTTATGTTATCTACTCACTTTGTTAATTTTAGTCTTAATTGTACGTCTATTATATTTATATACAAAAGTTGCTTGACACGAACAAAAAAATTGGACTAATATTTGAATAAAATATCTCAAGTGCAATAATTAATTCCATAAAATGCACATATTTTTAATTTAATTTAAATTGTTGCTAGATGAGATTCTAGAGGGGATTACACGTGTTATTGATGAATCTTTCATTGGTGTAGTCAACACATCATCATCACCATTTAAGGTTTCTGATGCATTTTATGTAGATACACAACAGTCAGCATCCTTTTCCAATGAACCACAAATATCAGCACCCAATGGAATACTTGGTGAGTAATATATAAATTAAATTACAATATAATGTTAATTTTATAAATGTATAAATGTATAATTTATTTTTAATCCCTATATAGAATTTTTTCAAAAAATGAATCTAACCATCAGTAATATAAAATATGATATTAATTCATTAAATGAGAAGGTTGATAAAATGTATGATATTATATTATTGGAACCAAGTCGCTTTGATCATTCATCTACAGAAAAAAATACTGAAGATATATTCCAAATGGAACTATCAAATCTTCCATTGGAAACAGAAGATGAGCTGGAGGAATTTGAAAAAAAACTTACAGCCAATAAAGAATTTAGAATGAAACTGGTAAAAATAAAATTCTGAATATGCTATACGCTTATATTAATAGTTATATAAATTATTAATTGTGTACAGATTGCAGAGCTCAAACGTTTTTCACGTAGCACATTGCCCAGTACTGTGAGTGTTATATTGAGAAAAATGTTTACAGATGCATTGCTTGAAAAGTTTAGCTACAAGTGTTTGAAAAAAAGAAAGTATTCTATACCTTGGCTACATGTACAGTAATTTTTGGTGAGAATTTGTTTAGTTAAATATAATATTTCTAATTATTCCTTAAGCTTGATTAAACTTTTATAAATATATAATAAAAATGTATAATACAATTATTAGCTATAATTACTGATTAAACATTTTTTAGCAATAATAAATAATTAAAGTACTATTGTAGGGTACTATCAGGATGACTGTTATTGACATGTATAAAAAAAATTCTTGAAGTGAAAGAAAAAGCAAAATATATTATAGCAGTGGTGGTTCTTAAAATCAGATGGGGTTGAACAAAAATGTAATATGGATAAGTTTACTTTATTAAATTTGTTTAAAAGTTTAAAACCCAATAAAAAGTCAATGTATAATACAATTAAAAATATAACTTAATGTTTTATGTCCCCCTATCAAAATATGTTAGGTACCTTATGACTTACTCAGTATAAATCCACTGTGCCACTATCAGGCCTAATAATTGAGTAATAATCAAAAAATGTTTCTATACCAGTATTATATAGTTTTGCCATGTGTATTACTTTTGTTATTTTTTTACTTTGTGATAACATGTTAATTATATAATAAATACAACTTGCTTTGTAGCAAATAAATATATAATGAAAGAAAACAATATAATTATATGATATATATTAATTAATATATTTAAAAATTTCATGATTTTCAGATGCAATAAAACAAATGAAAAAATTCAAATTTAGCGATGCTGTGGATATTGAGACACCCATAAGAACATTTATTTCTGGAGCTGAATTCCGGGAACCAAAGAAAAATCCACCTATTTCTAATGAACTATCATCTTAATATAATTTTTGTTTAAATACTATATTTTATGGTCAAGACCTGCAGTATAAATATTTATATCTGTTTAAATTGTTATATTAATACAATTATTAATTAAAAATAATAATATATACTGTTATTAACATGGAAATGAAAAAAATGGATTTACAATATTCTTTTCGTTTTTAAGTTTTCATTATTTCCTTCCTATATCAAGTATATCATAACATATAATTGTTGGAATTCATTTAAATACAATATAATAATTAATTGATTAAATAAATAAATAATGTACAGGGGTGCAATTTCAATGAAAAAAAAAGTTAGAGGTGCTAAAGTCATTTATTATTTCAGTTACCCATACCTAGTCTTATTATCATAGAATACATAATGAGTAACTCTCCCACCCCGCCATTTGACATTAAATAATCACATATTTAATGTTTTTTATTATATTTACATCATATAAAACGTATTATTAACCATAAAAAATATGGCAAATTGATATTTGATAATGGTTTGATATATATTATTAATAGTATGTTAGGGGAACAATATTTTTAAAATAATACAATTGTATGGTTTTATTATAATTTTCAAAATAACAATATATTGATGTTTATTTAATTTCAAACCGGTGGCCAAACAACAATATATAATCATTAATATCATATTATTTAATCAAAATATGATGAAATCCAAATGATTAAATAATGTCAATATTAAAGAAGTAATACCTAACATATAAACAATCAAAAAATGTTATATTGCTATATGGGTAGGTAATACTATAAATACGTTATTAAATTTGTTTCTAATATAATATTGTAATACTAATACACTACTGTTTTGTAAAGAGTAATACATAATATGTTTTGATTTTTAGGTGGAACTCATTCTTCGATGCAATGAATGTTATAACTGATAATCATGATAATCTTTATGAAATTTGTGTCAAACTACAGTTGCCTATTTTTTCACTTACTCAAGAAGTTGGTTTTTTAATTGAATACTGCAAGGTAATACTCATATTATGTAATACTCAATTTTATATTTAAATATTTTTAAGTGTTCAAACATAAAAAGTTGTTAAAATTAAAATCGATACTCCCAGGTTATGAAACCAGTTGCCCGAGTTTTAGATATATTCCAAGGAGAAAAAAAATTTGCATTGGTTATTTATTACCTACCATTAGCACAATGAATAATTCCTATAATGAGATGAAAAATCTTAAGTTTTGTCAACCTCTTGTTCTCAGCTTAAAGAAAGGATTAGCTAAAAGGTAAAACTATTCTTACAAATAAATTATTTTTACTTTATTTTTTACTATCAATTATCATACATGTTATGTTTTACCTTTAAGATTTCAAAGATACATGACTTGCGAAAACTGTCAAATATCAGCTGTCTTAATTCCAAAATTTATACTGAATTGGGCCAAACCTCTTGACAAAGTTATTATAAGACAGGGACTGATTGATTATTTGATCTCAGATAATGAGAAGGATGATAATACTGATAATAGTTTGTCACTACCCATGTCAATATTCAGATTACTGGAACTTGGAAGTGATTCGGAAGATGATTTTTTACAGTTTGGGGACACTGTAGAAACAGATTATTTTCCTAACAATAACGTACAAATGTTGGTGGATACCTATCTATCAAACACACTGATAAAAACACCTAATGATTTACCTTTACCATTGAAAAAAGCATACATAAGGTTCAATACAGCGATACCCTCATCAGCTCCTGTAGAAAGGCTGTTTACTGCAGGAGGGCAATTGATGGAAAAAAGGAAAGCAAAAATGGCTGATAAAAATTTTGAAATGACTTTGTTACAGAAATATTATAAATATTTCAATATCATGTGATAAACCATGCAAAAAAATGTATAATTATTAAAGTTTTTAAAGTTTTTGTTTTATAAATTTAAATATAAAGGAATTATGTTGTAAATTATATATTATGCGAGTTGCAATAATGTTTTTAATAAAATTAATAATTTTAAATTACAAATTGACAATTGTTATGTTTTAATGTTATATAACTTATATAGTTATATATACGAAGGTCATGTACTCGGCTTCACGTATTATGACATTCAATTTTGCTATACGATATAAAACAATTTATTTGTTAAATGTTAAATTATTAATTTGAGATGAGTAAAGTTTAATTTAATAAATACTAAAAAATTAAAAGGGTATACAGTGTACATTATGATAAATGTTAATGTATAAATTAGAAACTAGAAAGACACATTCACTCTTTATGTGATTTACTTAATAATTAAAAAAAATTGATTAACTTTTTTTAAACTGAGTTAAGATAATTTTTTTTTCTATATTAACTTCTAACTTATCGAGTTAAATTTATAATTTGTTAACTGTTAACTTTTAACTTATCGATCTTATGTCCTCTTAACTTAACTTAACTTGAGTTAATTATTTTCATTAAATTGCCCACCTTTGGTTTTCAATAATTAGTTATTATAAATGATTATTAGGTAGGTACCTATATTAAATGTATAAGTTCATCACATAATAAAGAAATTTATAGTTGTTCTTTTACATTTAAACATAAAATATAATAGGTAGGTATATCATCATAAATAACTGATAATAATTAATTACTCACAGTAAAAATCATCTGTAACGTGTTCCTCATTCTTTGATATTCTTAAAAATGACGTTCTTTTTCTCCTCCTTTTTCCATTTTTATTGTTAATGCACAATGTTGTCTTGCGATTTGGTGACAATTTGCCTTTAAATGGTAAAATAAAAACAAAACCAATAAAATATATACATACATCTAATGAGAGGGTTTACTGAATAATACATTTTACGATGTTTGTCTTAAACACACAACATAATAACATATAGTACTGCAATACTATTATATACTTACTATTACTTGGACTCATGGTCTATGTTAAAATTTCAAATGACCAGCGCTTGAATATAAAGTTTCTGAAATGAAAACAAAACGTATGGTTTAGTTTCACATGGTTATTTCATTGCGATCACAACCGATTATTACCTATTACACTAAAAAAGACGATTCAGGTGAAAAACATGCGTTTAAGCATGTCCAGACATGTTCAGCTGAATCAAGGATAAACGTAAGTTTATAAACGTTTAAGTTGTTTAACCGATTACTGCGTTATAATAATTATTAATGAACAAGCAGGTCGCAACTACTAACGAGCTGGTGCATGTTAATGATAAAATATGAAAAACGTTTTTATAAGCAATAATATTATAGTAACTATTATAAATTAGAATAATATTCGTCGCGAATAATGCTGAAATTAAAAACTACACAGATTATAACAGATGAAAAGCCGACATTCGCTATAAACAGTAGTTACTCACTTTAAAACCGCTACCACAATGGCGACGACTGTATACAACAGACCACGAGGACTAGCATGTCATATTGTCATCCGGTGCGCGCGCATCACGACGCATGCCAACACCGCCAAAGGTCCCACAGAGTGGCAAACCTCAAAAACAATCATTTACAGTGATGCCAAGCCATCGCTACTCTCCTCGGTGCTGTCGCTCCCCTCCGAAAATCGATAATATCCCTCGACTTGTTGTGCAATACCCAAGGCCGTAACTGGGAAAAAATTTCGGTGAGGGGGTCTAACATTTTTTTAAATATATATACTGAACACTTCATTTTTACGTTAAAAATATAAAATTTTATTATTATCATTATTAAAAACATAAGTCATTATTATAATATTAAATTTACATAAACATAGGTAATAGTTGATTGTTTATATACATATAGACTTATTCAAATATTACTTAAAAGCACAAATTAAAAAAAGATAAATTAAAAAATACAATTTTTTAAATATTCAATTTACAAAATAATTATTAATTTATAGTCTATAAGCATGCAATATGTTGACTGTTTTATTTTAGTAAAATAGCTCTATCTTTTTGAAGAGCAAATTTATTCGGGACGTCTTCGGGATCCACTTTTGATATTTCTATGAACACTTAATAATGCTAGGCCATTTAAACGGTTTTGTCCAATAGCGTTTCACAAAAATGTTTTCATCCATTTCAGCGTTGAGAAGTTCTCTCGGGTATTGCAGTTGAAACTGGTAATGAAGCTAAACATTTTAGTAAAAAGTATATACACGGAAATAAAACAGAATTACAATTGTTTAATGTTTCAACGGCTGTACTAGGACGAT